CAGTCTTCCTGACGCAGTGAATGTGTGATGTTATGTAGCTTTGAAAACGGAAAGCCAGGTGTATCGGATTTGTGTAGAGAAGGAGATGCTCACAATGGAGCAAATAGAGGCAGCCATGTACCAGAAGATGAAGAAGTCGGACAGACTAAACGAGGAGAAAATGGAAGGATTCACCATGGAGGGAGGTCAGAAAGAGCAGATCCTCCAGTGGTTTGTGGAGACTCAGGCTATGTTCATCCTGTCTGATGGAAACTTTCCACGCTGGTTCCAAGGTTTCATCTCCAGACAGTAAGAACTAATAAGAGACGAGAGGTTTGCTAACCATAACTGTTACATTGTGAGCTGTAAAACATTATGAACGGCTATAGGCTGCAGGTGACTTATAATGCAAATGTCTGTTTGAAAATGGAGGCAGTTAAGCCATCACTAGGACTTGACCCGTTCAAAGGGTACACTTCTGTATTTAATGGATACATGTTAGGATTCATATTAATGCTTTAAAGTGATATATTAAAACCTAAAAGTGTTATAAAGATGATTTAGCAACTAAAAAGTATAAAAATGTGCCTTTAAAAAAGGGTAGCCCCTCAGTTATAGCTTTATTTCTTAGAGGGGGGCACTGTAGTACAGTAACTATCGCTGTTTGCAGGGAAGCAGAAGATCAGCTCAGAGACAGGGATGTTGGATGCTTCCTTATCAGACTCAGCGAGAAAGCCATTGGATATATTCTTTCATACAAGTAAGAATGAGAACAAACAGTCAGCAATATCATGTTGCACAGCATTTAATAATTGTCTTTAAATGTTAGTTCACATAATACAACTATTGGTTGTCTGGTTAGAGACCAGAAAAAAATTTTATTAAAAAAAAGAAGACTTAATGTTGACAATTTGATGTTACTGAGCTATTTAGTTTTCTGTACAAGCATTGTTTCTTAATGGTTCACTATAACTAAAGAGATATTATCAAATGGGACTTTGAATGTGTATTGTAAATTGTAATGTGATACATAATATAATCATTTTATATTCTTTATTGTGTCAAAAATGTAGATAATGGTTCTAAAACAGTTCTTCAATGTTTAATGTTGACAGAGGTCAGGATCGTTGTCGGCATTTTGTCATAAATCAAACGAAAACTGGCCTGTTTGTCGTTTCTGGTGATTCTACCACTCATAACAGTCTCGCAGAGCTGATTGACCACTTTAAAATCACACCGATCCAGCCTTTTGGAGAGTACCTGACTTCATACAGCACTGAGATGGACACCGTGGAAGAGGTAGAGTCTATTCTTTCACTTTTAAAAAAAAAGAAAGAAAAAACAGTAGTTTGAAAAATATATTCATAAAATCATGTTGACATCATGTCAATAGAGTTTTACTTACCGAAGCTGGGGTGGATCATTGGCCAATCATGATGAGATCACATGACCAGCCAAATCAGACAAGCTTTATCTAGGTATTTTTCCTTCACTGGATGATTCACTCATTGGGGAAAAAGTATACGGTTCTACATAAAGCAGCGGTGGACAAAAGTATTTCTTTATATGTTACGGCTGAGTTTTTGGATTATTTTTATATGGAAGAAAAGTTTCTCTTTACTTCAGTACATTTCAAAACAAATTATTACTTTTTGTTCCACTGCACTGGAATAATCAATGCACAGAGAAATCATTGCAGGTTTAGAGATATTATAGCAGAGTCTGATATGGTACTTCATGATTTTACCAAGTACGATGCGATCCTTTATTATCATCTATCTTGATCCTGAAACATCGTTTTTGTTTGAAAAAGTAATCCATACCTGTTCCCTACCCCTAAAACCCAACCATAACTCTAAATTACTCTCAAATTTAGAGGGGAATCATGATAGGATAACAATCATGTAGACGTAAACAAACCTAACCATAAGCCTAAACTTAACATAAACTGTAAATGTATCCCATAATGCTAATTGGCTGATTGGAATGTTGTTTCATAGATGTTTATCCAGAAACATATCCTACTTCGTGAAATCAGGTTGGCGGTCTGATTTATGAAAAAGCTGAATCTTGACAATTAATCTCTTAATTTGGTTCACAAATTACACTGAACAAATATTTTATATATTGGATAGATCTGAAATCCAATCTGAGTGAGTGTACAACTAACGACTCACTGATTCAAATGGCTCATTCAAAGCGTGCTACAGTTTGTTTTATTTTATGTGTTTTTATATTGCATTTACACTTATTTTGTGCTTATTTATTCAAATATTCAATTAGCCTCTACAGTATTTCACTTGTTCACACAACTGAATTAACAATTTAACTTGTGTAATTAATTATTACAAGTTTTTGTAAGAAATTGTTATATTGTCTCGCAAAAAACATTACCAATAGGTATTTTTTACTTCCATATCGATCAGCACAACATAAAATACTATTAAATGTACTTGCAAATACATAAAAGCAAGCAGAATACTATTCATTCATTCATTTTCTTGTCGGCTTAGCCCCTTTATTAATCCGAGGTCTTCACAGCGGAATGAACTGCCAACTTATCCAGCACGTTTTTACGCAGCGGATGCCCTTTTAGCCGCAACCCATCTCTGGAAACATCCACACATTCAATCACACACACTCATACACTACAGGCAATTTAGCCTACCCAATTTACCTGTACCGCATGTCTTTGAAGAACATGCAAACTCCACACAGAAACGCCAACTGAGCCGAGGCTCGAACCAGCGACTTTCTTGCTGTGAGGCGACAGCACTACCTACTGCACCACTGCGTCGCCAGCAGAATGCTATCATATCCAGAAATGTCTTGCACTACTAATGTTCTTTTGTGTTATTTTTCTAGGATGATGGAAACGAGCTTTATGATGTGGTTCAAAATAGTCCCATAGTTACATCAGGAGTGAGTGTAAAGGCTCTAACAAGTTTATGGGAACAAGCTACCAACTGCCCACACAACATGGCTCCTGTCCTGCCTTCTAAAAGCAATCGGAAGCTCACAACCTCCACCTCTATTGACAGGAACAGCCTGTCTCAGGTAACAATGTCAACTACTTCCTTGGATACAATCTATGCTTTTTTACATACTCAGTATTGAGTTTCATTCATGTGTCAAAATCATTAGGCAATGAAAATCCCATCTCTGCCAAAGAAAAACGCACCACTTCGGAATTCTTTAAGCGCTGGTCTTCCTGGTACTAATCCTTCACATGAACAACACAGCATTACAGAATCAAGGACATCTGAGCACTACAGCTCTCAGTTATGGCCTACCCATCATGAAAACGGTCAGTCTTTAACTTCTAACTCCTATAATCCTACGCCCTCCATGCCTCAACAACCTCCTCCAGCTCCATTGATGACAGCCTCCTGTTCTTACGCTGTTCTTGACCCTAAAAAAATGCATTCTGGAGCTGGTCGAATGGCGAATATGGAAGAAACAGAACTACAGCCCAATCCACTCTATCAGGCCTCAACTGTTGCGTACGCTGGGCTGAAGAATCAACCTGAGGTTGAGTATGACAACCGTGCAAATCCCAATGACAACGTCCTTTTGGCAGAAAATCTTTATCAAGACGTACCTGAAGAGCGTGACTACAATACCTATGAACACGTACCTGAGAGCAACACCTACGAGGACATCCCAGTGAAAGTCAGCAACATGTACGCAAGCCTAGATGAGATTCAGACCCAAACACCGAACACGTTGGGGAAGAAGGTGAGACCTGATATGATTAAAGCAAATCTATTAATTATGAGAGTAAACCATGCTGAAACTGAGTGACAGGGTGGCTCAGTGATAAGCACAGTCGCCTCACAGCAATAAGGTCGCTGGTTTGAGTCCCAGCTGGGCCAGTTGGCATTTCTGTAAGGAGTTTACATGTTCGCCCTGTGTTGGCGTGGGTTTCCTCCGGGTGCTCCAGTTTCCCCTACAGTCCAAAGACATGCGCTATAGGTGAATTGAATAAACTAAATTGGCTGTAGTGTATGAGTGTAAATGTGAGAGTGTGTGGGTGTTTCCCAGTACTGGGTTGCTGCTGGAAGGGCATCCACTGTGTAAAACATATGCTGGATAAATTGGTGGTTCATTCTGCTTTGGCAACCCCTGATGAATAAAGGGACTAATGAAAATGTCCCTATGAAACCCAGTGAAAATGAATAGATGAAAATGCTGAAACTGTTTTCTTTTTTACAGAATCATAAGTGGTGGAAACTTCGTCTGGAGAACAAGAAGTGACAGTCCTTATGATATTTGAAGGGCGCCACATTAACCCATAAGCTGAGAAAATAATGTATTGTATTATTGTTTGCAAAGCATTTAACTTCCTAATATTCATGTTGGACTGTACATTATATAAATAACTTCAGTGTGGGATCACAACGTGATGAATATAATGCAAGGACATTGGCACAATGAGTTGATTATGATTTTAAAAATGTATTTGAATAACTACTCTGATTGTATCTATTGTTATCATTGCACTTCCTGCTTTCCACTCAATGCAGTTTCACCTTCGGTTTGTGTAAATACAGTCCAGCAGGTCCATTCCATTTCTTCAATGCAATACATGTCATTTATTTCCAGGACGGCCTCCTTTCTGGTCAACCAGCCTGCTCCTTCCTTCACTGAAGATAGAAAACATGTACACAAGTCATAAAAAGGAGAAAAAACTAAGCTAAAATCCTCAACCACTCCGTTAAAATGTGATTGATAACCCTTTCCCGTCACAAATGATTCATTACACTGGAACATGTATTTTGTTATGAAACATTTATGAACTCATTTTAAAAAAGGGGTTTGTAAATATAAACAGTTTAAAGAGAATCATTTAAGCAAATAAAAAGTACCTGAACCTGAGCCTATGTCAGCTTTTTAAACAGTTGAAATAAACAATATTGCATTTTAAAATTCATTACATTCTTCATGTTGTTCATCTTGAAATGTTTTTTAAGTGCACAAGGTTCTAATCTGCTGTGTCCATTACTTAACATTAGATTAAATGCAAATACGTTCACTGGGGATCAGAGGAGCTGTGGCTCCATGAGAAGTGAAAAGTTGCAGCAGCAGTATGGCGAGTGATACCAGTGTCCTCCAGCAGGCGGGGACATGGCACAACTAAAGTTAATTTAGTCCAGAGATCAGGGCCGGAGTGGGACTCTTTTTCAGCCCTGGAGTTTCAAGCCTCAGACCGGCCCACCTCAGTTCACCACTGACTTTATTAAAATAAGGTTATTTCCAATTCAGTTTCTAATTACAATATCACGTCTTTTTTTGAGAAAACAGCACTTTTAGAACTTCAAATGTTCAACAACCCTTACAGTATTATGTCTTAACAATAAAAATGAAAAAAAAAATTGTTACTCAGACAAGGACCGAACCCGGATTGGCGGCCTCATAATCTAACGTACTAACCACTGTACCACAACTGCTGTATGTTTAAAGGTGACTTATCTAGTTATATCATCATTAACCTGCATCCTGCTCACGAGGCTACGAGAAAATAGATAAAAAGAGCAGAGCTGCGGTAAAATAATTAATAAGAAGGCTGTGGTCAAGTAAATAATTAAATTATTTTTAAAAAGTGTGACTGCTGAGAGCAACCGATTCTGGAACTAGGGACACCGGCCCTCGCGGCCAAAAAACGGACCGGCCCACCGGGAATTCTCCCGGTCCTCCCGATTAGCCAATCCTGGCCTGCCAGAGATGTCCAAATAGGGCCCGCGGCCAAAGTTGGCCCATGGTAACCTTTGATTAGGCCCACCGTCCTATCTGAGAAGAGAGGGAGAATGAAGGGGATGGTTTAGAGATTGTCAATTAAAATTTAATGTAAGCCTTTGTTTGTTTTAAGCTTTGTTTGTTTGTTTAAAGCAAACAGAATTAAATGATTTAATTAAATGGTGTAAATTAATAAGATTTAGTTTAAATCTATATACTGTCAGCTGACAATGCAGAGACTTAGGTGAACAAATCAAGTTAAAGGCATATTCTGTTTGACTAGTGTATTCAGTATTGAACTGCACTGTGTTATAAATTTGATTGTTTGGTTTTATTGTAAAAAGTTGTCACTTAAAAAAAGTTATACTGTATTAGTTAATATGATTTAAAATATTTTTTTTAAATATTAGGAAATAAATTAAGAAATTACATGGTATAGCCTATATTTACCTTCGGCCCACAGCTCGCGATAATATTTGGTTTTTGGCCCTTCATACTTTAAAGTTTGGGCACCCCTCATTTATTTTATTAAGAATGACTTTTTCAGATTACTTAGAACAATAATAAATTAAAAACACGATGGTTTACAAACAATACTTGTGTTCTAGAATTTAGTGTCATATTTGCTAATGAAATAAAACATTTAATAAATAAATAAATGACATATTAATCAATTATGACATTACAATAGCAACAGAGGCATATTAGCAAATAAGGGAAATTTGTAAGGAACAGTTGTGTCTAAAGTATTCAGAAACCTAATGGCTGTGAACATTGTGACAACACCATGAATCATTCAAAAAGTTAGGTATTTCCACAGATGTAAGTGAAAGTAACAGGTTGTGTGCTGTACTGATGCTGAGCACTCCTCCCTCCTGGAAAAATCAATTTAAGTGAGGCTATAAGAGCAGAGGGAACTTCCATGACAAAGTCATGAAAACAGAAATGTCTACAGCTGTTGCCAAACATTAAGGCATCAATTTTCAGCTCCATCAGTTATTACATTTGTGTATGTCTAATAATCATCTTTTATTAGACACTACATCATAATTATTACATAACAATAGCCAAATTATTACAATGAAAAACATAGAATAGCGAATTATATAATAGTCAAAACTATGAGGGAGATTACCACAACATCACACTTTCATAATTACTTTGTGTGTCATTTATGATTTATTGTCCAGAATTTTTACTTAAGTATCATCTCAGAACTGATTCATAATTTATTTTATTCCTTATGACTTAGTATATCATAATTTCACATTATTTTTCCCTCATTATTTTTTATTTTATTTATGAAACCGTCAAATAATTTGCGAAAGATTTTTTCCCTCTTCACAGCAGAGATGGCCAAACTAGAGCCTGCGAGCCAAAGTTGCCCCATGGTAACATTTGATTTGGCCCATAAGTCTCTCTGAGAAGAGAGGGAGAATGAGGGGGATGGTTTAGAGATTGTCAATTAAAATTTAATGTAAGCCTTTGTTTGTTTTAAGATTTGTTTGTTTGTTTAAAGCAAACTGAAATTAAACACTTAAAATAAATTGTGTGAATTAAGCAGATTTTGTTAAAATCTATATAGTGTCAGCTGACAATGCAGAGCCTTTGGTGAACAAATCAAGTTAAAGGCAGATTCTGCTTGACTAGTGTATTCAGTATTGAACTGCACTGTGTTATAAATTTGATTAAAGAAAGAGAATGATGGGGAGGTGGCTGAAGAGAATATTTTTGACAAAGATGGTCGTTTTAAATTTAATACAACCTTTTGTTTGTTTGTTTTGTAAATGAATCAGATTTTCTGAAAATGTAAATATTGTCACGCAACTGAACAGAGGGCAAATGCACAAGACATCAGCAAGCAAATCAAGGCTAAGGCAGCTTAGTGCATTCAGCGTTGAAGTCCATTATTTCATTAATAGCATTATTTAAGTTTTACTGTAATAAGTTCATTACACTTGTTTATAGATACTGCATTAGTTATAAAATTAGCAAATGAATGAGAAACTTACTCTTGGAAACTTTGGTGTATAATAGTTGTTATACTAACCTTCAGCCCACAGCCGTCAATCAGGTTTGGTTTTTGACCCTTCATGAGAAAAATCGTTTGGGCACCCCTGCAGCTGCTCTAATGGGACGGAAAAGGAAAAGGGCTTTCAGTACCGCCTGACGCTCTTGACGTTTATGCTTTCGTGATGACGTCACGGCAGACCCGCCCAGTCTCTTCCTCACTGCTGCGCTGCGTGCAGTAAAGTCGGAAACACAAGTTGAACCGCATCTCTTATGTACCGTTAGTCAAACACCGTTACTCTGCTACCGAGCCGAAAGAAGGTAGCCAGACGAGGGAGAAACAAGAAAATATGGCGAAAACGTACGACTATCTGTTCAAACTGCTGCTCATCGGAGACAGCGGTGTGGGCAAGACCTGTCTGCTGTTTCGATTCAGCGAGGACGCCTTCAACACCACTTTCATCTCCACCATAGGTCAGTTTCACACTAGAGCTGCTTGATTTGTGTACAAACATTACATTGATGTTAACTGGGTAGTACTGCATGAGCTGTTATAAAGATGCATGGAGGTTTACGTGCATGTGACTGTCTGTTGGAGTGACAGGAAGAGGCCGTGGATGTGACAGCTCGTTCACTAAACTGTTCATCGACGTGTTTTTATAAAGACAAACGACACATTTTCCGTATGTAAACGTCAGGATCAGTTGTTGTAGACTGCTATTACGTGTAAGATGAATTAGACGTTACACAGTACGCTGCATTTGTAGAGCTAGCATGATCTCAGCCTGATTAGCTGTGCGCTAGCACAGTGGGCTGGACTGCACTTTCAATTTTGCGGCTAAAGAGTTGTTTAGATTCACATTTCACCACTAAACGGGACTTCAAGTGAATTTACGACATTGAACATTTTCTTAATTCATGTTATAGACCGCATTACGAACTATTCATCAGCTTGTTTATTCTTTAAGTGTATTGTGATCGTAGGGTTGAACCCAAATGTCACCTTCCTGTGAAAATGACACACTTCTCTCTGGTGATTTTACAGGACTTCTCCAGTCCTCTTAGAGTGAGTTCACACACTTGGTTTTTGTGATTCATTAAAAAGTACACATTTAATCCTCGTTTACTTAGAGTTCAGTCATTTCTTTGGACAAACTAAACTTACAGAAAAGCAAAAGGCTCTATGACTTATATTTTATGACAGAATTTACAAAACATTAAAAACAAATGTGATCGTTGTGTTGTACTGTACTGTATATGTACTTTTATCACTTGAGAATTAGTGAAAAGCTTCTTAAAGTCAAAACATGTCTAGAAATTAGAGACACAAAGAAAGAGCTAGTGGCAGAAGATGTTTTTCCAACATTAATCTGTTGAGTAATGACAAAAACCAAGTATAGCTGTCTGTCCTTTATATGGTCACATCATGTGACATAATCCTTTGGTCCATGTTATATTCATATTTCAGTCAAACCAAAGCTTGTTTAGAAGACGAGCTAGACCCTTCTTTTCAACACTCTTTGTCCAGTTGCTTGTTGCTCACCAAGCTTTATATGGCAAGGTTTCATTCAGATGAACCACACTAACAGAACAGTTGCTCCATAGTTTGATTAAACCAAATCTGTCAAGTGTGAACACACCCTTAAACTTCACAACTTGTGTTCATCTGTTTGCAATTTTGAGTGCAACACCCACATTTCAAAATACAAACAATCAATGGGAAAAACCTTTTTGTGATGATGATCTGTTTCACTCAGATGTGTCACAGTAGAAGAAAATATGTTAAGCTACTTCCAATTCAATTTGTTCTTTAGCATTCGGTGTTAGGCATGGGCCAGTATATGATTCTGACATTATGATAACCTTGGATAAAATATCATGGTTTCACGGTATTTTGTTTACTGCTCTAAAATGTATTCTTTTTAAATGTCTGGGGAAAAACTAAAACTTTTTTCCTCTTCGAAACATTTAAAATACATGTTAAAATAAGATCTTTACATGTTAAAGCAGCATCTTTGGATATCTTTTACTGTTGGAGATACTATTGTCCTAAATACAAACAAGAACAAAAAAACACGTAAAAAGAAAATCTTACATGTGCTGTAGGAATGGTATTACAGAACATTTTTGCAGTTTTAAAGGTTCAAGACACCCGAGTACTTTTTTTGATATACACACAAATTTGTG